GTTTTAGGGAGAAAAGCTGGGGCCTGGGATTTAGTTCAGGTGGGCATATCGCTTAACTAATGTGCTTGAGATGCTGAGGTCAGGCCCAGAATAAAGTAGGAGAAGCACAGACTTTGGAGAAATGGATTGGATACATCTGCACTGCAGGCTGCTTCTGTCCTCTTGTTGCTTCTGTTGAAAGGAGTGAGGTTGCTTGTCCTTGTCTGCTTTGAAAAATTTTTTCTATTAGTTAAACATTTTCAGAAAATAGAGGAGAATTTTCTTTACAAGTTGACCAGATCTCCTTGACCATGTGACATAACTAAACTTGCACCCTAAGAGCACCACCTGAGTGAAACTGCACTCAGGAATATCAGCGGGTGTGATCAGTAGGGAAGATGCAGAAAGCAGCAGACAGAAGCAGGAAAGACAAAGAGTAGAAAACTCAAATGCAAATAGAAGGGTGTGGCATTGGCAACAGTTAACCTTAAAATAATTCTGCATTCCTGAACAAAACTATTTACAAATTCAAAGTGTGGTCATTTAAATAATTTAAAATTTCAAATATTTGTTATTTGCAGATGGGAGAAAGCTGGAGAAGTGAGTCGGGAGCTTTGGGAAAAAGCTGGAAAGCAAGGACTGCTTGGCATCACCATCGCGGAGCGCCATGGTGGTATTGGTGGGGACCTGTTCTCCGCAGCCATTGTGTGGGAGGAGCAGTAAGTACTTAGGAGGAGGCAAAGCTTGAGGTCGTGTTTCTGAAGTGGTCGTTGAAGTGCTTTCCAAATCTGGGATGGTTAAAATTCAGTATGAACTGTGAGCAGTTATATCACTCCTATACTCGTGCGCATTTTTTTGACTGTAACAAGAACAGGAAATCATCTTTTAAGTTGTTGAAGTAGGAGCTGCTTAAAATTAAGGAGAAAACCTCATTTTTGTTTGGCTGATAGGGTATTTTCCCTCTTAAAAATATAAGGGAACAGCAGAATGGGAAAATATTTCTACCAAACATCAGAGTTTAATGTATAAGAACAAATAAGGATAATAGTTAAAAATAGACAGTTTTTTTAAAACTAACGTTTCATGTAAAAATAAGTACAATTAGCTTTTGTTAAGTGAAAAAAGTGCATCTTTACTGACCATTATAAATTAAGTTGACTTGTAGATATCATTTTACATATCTGTGAGATTAGTGAAATGACAAATTCTAATACCCTGGGTGAAAAGGTTGTGCTGTTATAGTAAAAGTGAAATTTTCAAACACTGTTGGTGATATTGAAAATTAAAAAAACATCTTGGAGGATTAGTAGTAGGAAAATAAGTAAATTATGGGACCCTAACAATTTGGAATAGTTTATAGCTATTGAAAATTAAAATTGTACTGCTAGGGAGATAGCTCTGCAGTCTAAGTGCCTGCCTGGCAAGTGCAAGGACCCAGGTTTGATCACCAGTACCACGTGCTGTGTGGGCCCCGGAATCCCAAATGCATGGCACCAACCATTGAAACCAAGCATGGTGGCTCACACCTGTAATCCCAGTGCTGGGGAGGCTGAGGCAAGAGAATCACTGTGACTCCAAGTTGCGTAGTGAGATCCTGTACCAAATAAATAAATAAATATTCTTGTAAAATTAAAATTGTAATAAAATTTATGTAAGAAACAATTTTAGTATGTCATAAATTAAGAAGAAAATAGCAAAGTAAAATTTATAATCTGACTGCATCTATATTAGAATACAGTGGCACCTCAGTTCACAAACTTAATTTGTTCTATGATTTTGGAAAAGAGGGCCACATTTGTGTTTGTGTGAAAAAGATAGCTGTGGTCATGTTTGTCACCAGATGCAGAGTTTGCAAACAAGAAATTTTACCAAATGCTTCTGTTTGTGAACCAAATTATTTGCAAATGCATGTGAACAGAGATATCCAAAAGTAGTTTTCCATAAATAATAATAGTTGCTGTTTTAGGGTAATAGAATTCTAGGGGGGAGTCAGCATTTTATCTCTTTAATTCATGAAATATTTACTAAGCTGTTAGAACACTGCTGTTATTTTAGGACAGGTAGTTAAAAGGATAGTAAAAACAGAAAGAAAACACTGAGGGTGTCCAAGGTTTATGAGGACGTAGGTTATTACCCAGTATAGGTCCTTTAACTGTTTGTTGTTACATTAGTTATTTTGATTTAAAATTTTAAAACCTAAAAATAGCAAAATAAATACTTTATGTTTTACTGTCTTCCCTTTCTCTAAGATCCTACACAAATTGCTCAGGCCCAGGTTTTAGTCTTCATTCAGAGATTGTTATGCCATACATTGCAAATTACGGCTCAGAAGAGCAGATTAAGCACTTCATCCCCCAGATGACTGCAGGCAAATGTATTGGCGCCATAGCGATGACCGAGCCTGGGGCTGGGAGGTAAGCC